TTCGGCCCACGTTCCCTGATAAAACGTTAATAAAAGTTTAAAGGGCATTATCGTGAATAAAAACGCACGTGTCCTTTACGGAGCTTTGAGATGCAATTTTAAATAGCTATTCCAACCTCCGAGCAATCGTAGAGGGTGACACATGTCCCCGATGCTGCTACATGTTTCCGTGGCTTATGTTTGGAATACCAATTGCTCAGCATGCCAAAGCCAGCGCAGCGAAGGGATTCCTGCAGGGGAATAAATGTTTATCGCGCTCGACACATTATACTTCATGTGGACGAGATACATTTCTCCTCACTTCCTCTTAAGTTTCTATTTATATTTTGCGCCCAATACATTTCCATCACTACCACTCTACCACATATGGAAAATGACACAACACTTAAAATTCAACAAAGAAAATAAATTAAAATCGCTGCCAAGTTTTACTAAATTAACAATTATTTCTAATGCATTTCTTTTTTCAACATTTTTAAAGCATCTACAACTTGAAGTCTGTTGGAAAATTTCTATCTAGGTTATACACATAATGTGTAATTTTATAATATGATTTTTCCAAACCAAGGAATAAAAATCAAAAACGTATTTTTTGATAAGTTAGTGTAAGTTTGAAACAAAAGAAATTGTAAGATTTTTTTATATTTTAGGTTGAAAAAAGATGTCTATACCGAATTTGAACCGAATGGGTCGGGTAATTTTTTTCCGGAGCAAGAAACGTAGTTTTGGGAAAAAGGAAGTCTAGGGTTCCACATGATATAAACTTTATTTAGAATAAACTAAAAGTAAGATTTTATAAATTTTATTGAACCAAATGGAGAAAATTTTATTCGTCATTAACTAATTAAACATTTATTGTCCATGTGCCCTTGTAATTTCTAATTTCCCAAAGGAGCCGTTCGTCACCTTAAGATTCTGTATATTTTATACATCAAATGGTCTTAAATGACACTTAAGAAGCAGTAACCATTACTCGAGCATTTATCAACGCGTTTCCCTGCGTAATAATAAAATACGATCATCTGTAAATCACGATGCGTGTTTTGACCTGGTCATAACCATTTCGAGAGATTGCGATGGGCCATTTCGGAGCGACACGTCGCATGACAAACTCATAGGGTTTGTATACGTCCTCGAACACGCATGAAAGAGAAGAAGGCGAAGAAGGTGTACGTGTGTCACGTACTTCAGAACTCAAGGGAACAATGTCTCAAATGATCACAGGGGACCATGAAGACATGCACCTATAACTGTGACTTTTCTCATGTGAAAAAAAAATATATATATTGGCCCTCGCGACCTCACGCTGCCGAAAATACAGGGCGGGACAAAATATGTGCCCGAGAGAAAGAGAGAGAGAATCCTACACGTGGTATCGGAACGACGATAAGTTTGTCGTAGCCAATTTATACAATTGGCAAAGGTTTCCTGCTATTTGACACTGGGGACCTAGGAATTTATGACCTAATGTTTCGACTTGGGCAGGTTTTGTACATTTTTTTTTAAGAAAACCTTGCAGTATACCTTTCTAATCGAATCTAAGATGAATTATACAAATATTCGAGGTGAATCTGTATTGATACGTTATTTCAATTTAGTTAAAAAATATATTTCTACCATATTCTAATTTTTCTTTTTAGATTTCACTGTTATAATTGGTTTACACGATAATGAGATTTTCTAACATTTTTTCTAAAACACCTTTGCGACATAGTTACAATCTAGAGTTTACAATCTAGTGGCTAAACTTTTTGACCTAGAAAGCTCAAATTTGGTACAGATACGTATTTTCACGGGTAGATTACAGGAAAAATATAGAGAATGTGATTGGAAGTGATGGCCATAGCGTTGTCAAGAAAACAACAAGATTTTTGGCCAAAAATGCATAAAAAGTGACCATTTCCCCCCCCCCCCCTTAACTTCTAAACTATTCAACATGGAGGGCTAAAATTTGGCATACTGGTGTATTTTAATGCGAATATTACAAAGAAAAATATAGAAAACTTGCTATGTAATAATTGCCATAGCGTTGTCAAGGAAAAACTAATTTTTCTAATTTCCACATTATTTGATCTAATTAACTAAAAATGAGTTTCTTAGTATACTTTTACAGTCTAATCACAAAAAATATATTAAAAAATCTAAAAAAAAAATTCAAAAACAATTTTTTTTAGATTTTTAAAAAATTTTTTACAAAAATTTAAAAATAAAATTAAAAAAAAAAATTGGAGAAGTGCGAGTTGAACTCGCACTGCAATGGCGGGTTCCGTTGTCAAATATTAAAACAATACTTGCAACATTTATCGGTAATTGGTAGAATTAAAATAAACAATTAAAAAAATATATTAAAATCATTTGATAAAAAAAATAACTAAAAGAAATTAAATTATTGTATAACTAATATTGTAAACAATAATAAGTAGAGGAACTTATTTTGAAAATTTTGTTTCTCTACTTATTATTGTTTACAATATTAGATATATAATACTTTAATTTCTTTTAGTTATTTTTCTATCAAATGATTTTAATATATTTTTTTAATTGTTTATTTTAATTCTACCAATTGCCGATAAATGTTGCAAGTATTGTTTTAATATTTGTGTACGGAACCCGCCATTGCAGTGCGAGTTCAACTCGCACTTGTCCAATTTTTTTTGTACTTTTTTGCATTCTTTAAATACTAATTTATTTTGAATTTTTTGATGCGTCGTGTACCGACCGCCACTAGTGGTTTAAAATCAAAAAAACAGTTCAAAATAGCGTAGAGCACGTAAATCTTAACCGATATTTATATTATATTTTTTAAGACACTCGTTATTTAATTTCTAAGAGATTCCTCGAGGACGATTTAAAAAAGCAACTTAAAATTTTTTTGTATCTATTTATTTACACTAGAAATATCAAAAAAAAACTATTCTTTAAAATTATAATCAAATTCTTTAAAACGATTCAATTATTTTCAATAACTAGTATTTTAATAAAATTTCGCAAAAGAATTCAAATTTTTTAAAAAAAGTGAATAAAATTCATATCCAAAATTCAATTATTTTTACTAATAATAAAATTTTAATTGAAAATTCACTTTTTAAAAAAAAATTTAATAAAATTCTACCCGTGTGGAAATAGCCCGAGTTAGCCATGATAGAGTTAGGTTTCTGGTCAGGGGCTAGCTTGTAGTGGGACTCCCCGGACATAGCATGGTTAGTAGAATTAATTAACATGATTTAAAATTAGTAGAATTTAATTTCTGAATAAAACTGATTTATTTTTGAAAATAATTTTTTGTTAAGTCTCGAAAAAATACTTATTAAAATTGATTGTGCATCAATTAAAAATTATTTTTTTAATAAAAAATAGAAAAAAAAATAATTTTGAAAAATGTTTGAAAAACTATTTCTTTAAGGTTAATTTAGAAAAAATATTACAATATTTTATTGGTATTGGAATTTTTTTAACAATATTAGGTAAACTGTTTCAATATCGAAAAAATTTAAATACTTTAAAAGAAATTATATTGTTTTCTATCAATGATTATGATGTTAAAAAAGTAGATTTTGAATAAGTTTAAATATTAATCGATATCGAGATTCAACACTCGCTGCAGTTCAATATGGCCAACTTCTTGACAATCAATTTTTTTTGTAAACACAAATTTTAGCATAGACATGTAATATTATTTATTTTTCATAAATAAAAAAAAATTTTCGAAATTTAAAGTGCAAAACATGTTCATACGTAAATTTATCAATGGACCTCTTCAATTTGTAAAAGTTTTTGACAATTTTACCGGTACGTACAAGTTCTTTTATTGGTTAAAAAAAATAATTTCCCAATTAATATTTATTTACAATTAAATTTTCAGAAGTTACGAAATTAAATTTAGAAACTCGTGTGGTACAAACTAAAATGTGGGATTATGTAAAAAATAAATTTGGTTTTTCACAACAACGTAAGTTAATAAAATTTTTATTCGATTAATTAGTGTAACTATATAATTACATTACATATTAATTTAAATAAATTAAATTAAATAAATAAATTGAAATAAATGAATTTAAACAAATAAATTTAAATAAATAAATACATATCACATATTTACATTTACATTTACAAAACTATATATATTAAAATTATATTCGAAATTTAGTTTTCCATGTATTTTCTACCTTACAAAAAAATTAAAAGCTAATTAATTTATTTTATGAATTTAAAAAATGTTATTTTATTTATAAAATTGTGTTATATTAGTATAGTGAATAGTGTTAATAAGTGCTAAATTAATAATAATATGCAAACAATATAAAAGGTAAAAATTTATTTTCAGAAACGAACGAAAAGGAAGTGACATCAAGTTATCGAGATGAATCCTACATGCATGAAAAAGAAAAAGAATTTTCCCCATACGATGAATTGTATAAACCCGGTTATCGTGGTCGAACCGATAATAAAAGATTTTGACAACTGTAATTAAAGAAATTGTATAAATAAAATAAAAAAATAAAAATCGACAGGCTTCTTCATTATTTTTTAAATACATAAACGGACAGTAAAAATTTATTTTTTAAAAATTGTATTCATAATTCTGTAGCATTTCTAAACCTTTCAATATTTTTTCCATTATTCAATTTTCTCAATCTTTTTATTAGAAATTTTTAAATTAACTTAAGAAATATAGTTTTAAATTAAAAATTTTTAATTGTTTAATATATTTTATGAAATCGCAGCTTTTCAATAATAAGCAAACCAAAAGAGGTCAATAAAACATTTAAATTTAATTAAAATAAACATGAAAAAAAATTTAAATATATTTAGTGTTAAATTATTTTTTTATTAATTAAATTTAATGAAATTAATTAAAATTTTTATTTTATTTTAAACGGGTTATGTTGTATTCCAAAAAAAAGTGAGGTCGAGAAACAGTGAAAAGAGATGGAAAAACATGAAATTGCAGTATGAAACGAACCTTGAACAAAGAAGGTTCGCTTTCAACCTAAAAAAAAAATTTTTTTTGTTTTTCTATAAAAAATTCGAAATCTTTGGTAAAATTAATAAGTATATAAATTCTTCTAGTGATTAAACAGGAAATAAAGTTCTTCTTTGTCGACATCAAGGACCAATATGATTCGACGTCAATATAATTCGGCCCTGAGAATAAAGGGAATTCTATTCCCTATCTCCCAGAGGACATTGTCCACTGGTAAGTTCACCCTGCTTGTCGATAAGAAACCGTAAATAACGTGTCGATCTTACATATTGAATTTATTGAGTCTCGAGTTCTTTCTCGAATCTGAAAATTTCAGAAATTGGGGTCGGATTCTTTTATACAATTAATTTTTTCTCCTTATGTCATTTGACAGTTGTGAAAATAATGTTCAACATCATTTCTTCATTACTCTTTAATATTAAAATTATTCTATTAAAAATTATTTTATTAAATTTTCTTTTAAATGACTATTTTCTGTTAGCTTTAATGTAAATTTTTTAATTATCACATTATAATTTATAATATGCTAGAATAATTATTTTTTCCAGCAAATGTAAGATACGTGGAACAAAAGAATATATATAGTGGGATTCTGTCAAAAATAAAGAAAATTTTCCATCAACCTGGTATGACAAAGTTTTTTTCAATAATACAAAATTATTGTTTCAAAAATATTTCAACCGAAAAATGAATTAATGAATAATATGCATTTTTAAAAATAAAATTAATTTTCGTTTATGCACGTGAATCGATTATTAATTTACTTATTCATTCATCAATAATTTATTGTAATTAGTGATTATTAATGTTAACTTAAAATTATTAATTTACTTCATGTGTAACCAAAACTGTTTATTTTCATAATTAAATATCCGGTTCAATAAAGCAATACAAATTATTAATAAAAATTAAATTTTTAAAAGATATTAAACTAAAATATTAATTGAAAAAATAAACTTAATAATATGACAATAAAAATTAGAAAAAATCATTTTTATTCAAATATGTAATAAAGATCCAAAGGGTTGTTCATATACCACGTGGACAGTTTTTGGGGGAGCAAAGCAAATGTCCACGTGGACCTAATTTTTTTCTTCATTTTTTGAATAAAATTAGCAATTTTAAAAATAATAGAACTTAAAAAATTGTAATTCAAATTTTTGTTGAAAACACTAAAAAAATCCAATTTTGGAGAAATTACAAATAATTGTAGAAAATCAATTATTTTCAAAAGTAATAAAATTCAATTATATTCAAAATTAAAAAAAAATTCTTTCCGAAATCCCAACCATTTTTGTGAATAACAAAATTTTTCCGCAAAGTTGAATTATTTTCAAAAATGACAATAAAATTATTGTTCTAATTTCAATTATTTTCAATATCAACTATTTTAATAAAATTTTCCGAAAATAATTCAATTATCTGAAAAAAACATTTAATAAAATTGTACACAAACATTTTAATTATTTTCAATAAAAATTCGATAGGAATTCAAGTATTCACAATTTTTTTTTATAAATTTCTTCGCAATAATTCAATTATTTTTATAAATTTTTAATTATTATAAAATTAATATTATTATAAAACATTAAGAAATCCATTACTCCGAGTCGAGCAATCGATATCTTCATGTTTTATAACAATTACTTTTATAAGTTGTTTAATTTCAAAAAGGTTTGAATTTGAAATTTTTGAAAATCTTAATTCTTATGAAAAAATAATATTTAAATATTTATTTAAAAAATAAGTGATTGATGTTTTTGGATAATTTTGCAGTTAAAGAAATTCGTAAATAAATTTAACAGAACATTTTTTTTTGAGGAAAATTTTTTCCTTTATTTTCTAAAAATTCAAAAATTTTCATTTTCAAGTAATTGACAAATAGAATTTATAAACATTTTTTTCCTTCATTTTTAAAAAACTTTGAATTAAAAAAAAATTAAAAATTACAAACAATTTTAATTAAGAAATAGAAATTAAGTAAATTATTTCCTTATGAAAATTGAAAATTTTCTAAAAAAAAAAATATTAAGAAACGGGAATATGTAATGTTTTTTTTCACAAAATAAAAGAATGAGTTTGTGAACAATATTGTCCACGAAGGGAGAGGGGGGGGGGTGTAAAAAATTGACAAAAAATTGTCCACGTGGTATATGAATGACCCTTAACATAACAAAAAAAAATTATAAAAAATAATTTCTATTTAAATATGTAAAAAAAGATCCTACTAGAACTTGTGAATTATGTAAATCAAACAAACTTAAAAATTACTTTATTTAAAGACAACTCATAATTAATAAAAAGATAACGCGATTTTATTTTCAATTAAATTATTTTATAGTAATTTAAAAATTGTAAAAAAAAGAAAACTTTTAAGGAATAATTAATTAATGTATATAAAAGTATTAAAAAAAATTGATTTCTATGTACTGCAATTTGCACTAGATTGTCTCTGTTAATTGTTTTTGTAGAAATACGATTTCGAGAAGTTGAATTATTGCCAATCTGTTGCTCCAAACACAAAAAACATTCGAGAACTAAAAATCGACCCCTTCGAAAAATCTTGGCCAACTACAGTATGGAAAATAATCTCCTGCGAAATAATAATAACAATAATTCCTACTTGAAGTATATACGAATCGACAAACTACTGAGCGAGTACATGTTAGCACAGTCGATGCGAAAAAAGAAGATGGGTCTCGTGTCTTTGGGACCAGTCCGTGGAATTATGGGTTTGGCATCTTATACTTCGAAACCGCCAATCACCGAACCCAACATGCCACCGCAACAGGAGAAGAGTGAAGAGAAAAAGAGGAAGAAACCAGTCATCAAAGCTGATGGCAAAACTACTCAAGAATTAGAAAATGATCTCTTGGGTCTGGAACCAGAAAATTATCGATACCAGTGGGGAGTCAAATTAATAGAAACACCTGTACAAGAAGCATCAACAGAAACATCAACACAAGAAGCAGTAACATCAAAATATATTTTACAAAATTCTTGGGGCGTGAAAGTAAAGAAGATTTTGGATAATGATGAACTCAAAACTGGAATCAAAGAAGGCAAAGATTTCAATCATGAAATTTCCAAAGTTGTAGCCAATGAAATCGTGGAACCTAAGGAATTACCTGAAATTAAAGCAGAACTTATCAAAAATATTACCGAACCAGAAAATTTAAAAGTTGAAGATAATATCGAAAAAATCTCTGCAGAAGAATTATTTGAATCTAAAATCCTACAAGCTAAAGACAAAGAGAATGAAACTGAAGCAGAAGTTCCTAAAAATGAATGCGTCAACAATGATCAAACTAAACTAAATTCATCGTTACCAGCACCGGAAGATACAACATCCGATAGTGACTACAATGTTCCAAAAGGACTTCCCCAAAATGCGGAAATTATCGCTTGGCAGGATCTTGTTGACAGATCGAAACCTCCAGTCGATGAAGCGCTTGAAGCCAAGGAAGGTACAGTTGGTCCAATGTTCATTCCTCCAGAACCTCCAGCACCCAAATTGGACGTAGAAGCTGTAAAACCCATAAAGGAGGAAAAATTTGATTTCCGAGCCATTCATAGAAAATCGCCTTCTACTGATTATGCATCAACGAAAAGAATTCACACTGACAGTCATCTCGCAGTCTCAACAACTGTCGACAGTGAAAATCCGGTAAAAAGTTATTTGGTCCTAAATTCCGAGAAAACTACCACTGTTAAGGAGAATCTGGTCGATCCGTTTATGATCACAAAAAATGCAGAAGGTTTAATGAAAACTAAAGAGAATTTAAAAAAGATGAGTTCGACGAGAATGGGACCACGACTTCCAACGAAAGTTTTAACCCTTACGAGAATCAACACTGATGACATGAGTTATTACAACGCTCTGGATGCTAAGAAAGTGGAAGAAACATACGGAAGAATGGTGGAAATAGAACTCTCTTCACCGAGTGAAATAAGTAAAAATATTCTAGATGCTCCCTTACCGACTGAAATCACCATCTCCATGAAACCTTCATCTGAAAAAAGAGTAGACACCATGTCCTGGATTAAATGCGCAAGGAGTTCATCAACCAGCAGTTCGGCATTCAATTCCAGTGGGAATTTCTTCGGAAGTTCGTCCAATGGTTCCTCGGGGTCAAGTGGTCGTAAGAAGTCTACCTATTTGGCGTCCAGTGATACGAGTAAAGGAACTGACCGGAAACCCGCTGTAAAGTCCACAGAAGACGAGGAATCGGATGATGAAGTAGAGAACTACGCCCCAGAAGGAAATTACGTCAGAGTTCCTGGAGATCCTTATCCCTACAGTCGAGAACATTTCTACAAATGGAGAGTTTCCCGGAATTCGGACTATCCTATAAATTCTTTAGCGAACAGTTCTAGAAAACATACGGATTATAGAGAAATTTACAATTCCGCTGGTGATTATTCCAGTGATGGTTATAGAACTTCCAAAAAGTATAATAATGTTGGGTATGGCAGCTCTCTTGATGGTTACGATACTGCTATTTATAGTGGTTCCAGTACCCCTAAGAGTTATAACTCTTATAATACAGCTAACTATGATTATCAAGAATACAGCAATGCTACTTATGCCGAAAAAAGTGATTCTGGTGATTATGACAATGTTTTTCAAGAGGACAGTTATAATGATGCAATTCATAACAATTATGACAATGCCAAAAAATATACCGCAACCACCGAATACTCCAGTCATGAAACAGAAGACCAAGACGAAATCGAAGATGATCAAGGGGATTACTACACAAAAACGTCAATTAAGGAAGCTAAAGATCTAGAACTAGAAGATGGTCCAATAGATACGACTTCCAATATACAGCAAATGAACCAAAGTATTCACAGATCGTTGAAGAACAAAAACTTCGGTACTTCAGAAATTGCAAAACATGACATCAATAAAAGTCTAGCATTATCGAGAAACGTCGACAGCAATTTGGATTTATTTCAAAACAGAAATAGGAGTTCGGGAAAAAGTAGAAATCTGAAAGAAGATTCATCTGAAGTTGGAGAGCAAGCGGGTCAGGACGTGTCGAAGGTTTTTGGTCAACAGAATCAGAGTTTGGTTAGCATTTCTCTTGAATTCCTGATAACAAAGGATTCATCTATATTGGTTGCTTTTAGTGTCACAAATTAAAATCTTCCTTTGTATCAGTGCAGACAACTCAGTACGATAGAGAAGGATGATGGTTGCGAGTTTGAACGGATGCAGTTCTACAAGGGTCAGGGTCTTTTTCACACAAGATTAAGCGATTTGAGAGGGCAAGTCGTGATAACGAGTCTCGATCAGCATTTTCAGCAATTTCTCAAAAGCAATTCGCGTTTAAAGAACTTCGAAAAGATCAATGAACTACAATGCTAATTCAGTGGATTAGCCTTCTGATTTTCAGTTTCTTGGTGAGTATTTATTCCGGGTCCATTTCCTTTTAGTCTTAATAGTTCAAATGTTAATTAAATTAATAATTCTTTTTTTTTGTTGAAAACTTTACTGTTCTGAACCAAATTCTGAAATAAAAAATTAGTTTTTATGCTTCGAGAAAGAAAAATGAATTTCTTATTATCCAGTTGTCGACCAAAACGTGTTTCTCTCATGTCATGAAAACCCGGAATAAATAACTACTAAGAACGTATTTTTATTCGATGTTTGTTTCAAAGGTTTTTAGGGGTCGACAAAAGGATTTAATTTTAATGACTTTCAGAATAAATTATTCGGAATGACAATAAATTATTTTCTAGTCTAAATTTATAAAATAAAAAAATTTTTCTAACCAAACAATTTTACAAAATAATGTTAACAAAATCTGTTGCAGAAAAAGAAAAATCTAGCGTTGAAGGAAAAATGAGGACAATTTCCGAGGAGAAAAATAAATCGGATCAATCAAAAAGTGCGGCTGATGTCGAAGAAACAGATGCAATCAGTGGACGGACGATTCATCCAGAAATTACTCCCCAGAAAATTGCTAATGAAAAATCAATAACAGCCAAACTAAAGCATCGTAAGTGTGAATTATAATTACAGGACAAAAAATCGAATCGAAAAAATCCATAATGAAAAATCCAAGAAAAAAAGTCCACGGTGCAAAAAATCCAAAATAAAAATGTCCAAAGTCAAAAAATCGAAACTCAAAAAAAAAAAACTTCTAAAATTTATTAATGAAACGTGAAAAAGTCACGTTTTTATTTCTTACGCTATAAAATTAGAATTAAAAATTTTATTTTTATAATCGCAGGATTTTTAATGTTTACATAAATAAATAAAATTCTACGGAAAAATTCAATTATTTTTATAAATAAAAAAAAAATTCTTCACAAAAATTCAATTATTTTCAAATAAATAAAAAAATTTCTAGAAAAATCTCAATTATTATATATAAAATTTTTAAAACATTCAAAGAAATATAATTATTTTCAACAATTTTGATAGAATTCTTTAGAAAATTTCAAATTATTTTTTTTTAAATATAATTCCATTCAAATTACTCGATTAATTTAATTATTTTCAGAACATTAAAATGTTAACTTTATCTACTTTCGATTCAGTCGTCAAAATGAGAAAAAATCAAAAAAAGGACAATTTTATTCAAGGCAACCATTTGAATTTTTGTATCTCAATTTTTTTCATTGGATTTTAAATTTCTTTGGACATTTTGACCAGGACAAAAAATCCAAAAAATAAGTCCAAAATGAAACTATTTTTTTCTTACTTTTTTGGATCTTATTTACTTTGCATTTTTTTGGTTTGGACTTTTTCCGGATACCGTGAATTATGTATTGAAAAATGAAAAAAAAATTGAACAAAAGAATTTCAGAAAATCATTCAATTATTTATTAATTCAAATTAAAATGCATCGAGTGAAAAAGTTAAAAAAAAATAAGTGACTAATAATATAACAATAAAGCAATGAAATTATAAATAAAATTTTATTTATTATTAAAAATTTGAATTTCAGAAGTCAGTGAATTCGTGAAGAAGGAAAAGTCCACTGAATTGAATAAAACTGGTCCTGAATCGTTGCAAGAAAGCATTTTTGACATCAGATATCGAGAAATGAAACGTAAGATTCAGAAATTCGAATTCTTTACAAACTAACCTAGTTTAAATTTCAATTTTCTTTCATTTCATTTACAAATTTTTTTTAAAAATTATAATTACAATTTAAAATATTATTATATTCCTCGAAAGAAATGTTCCTAAAGTTCTGAACGTTCAACATGAACAAAATTTACTTTTTTCTTCAAATTAAAATGTTGTTGCAATTAAAATTTTATTAATTTTATGTCACATATCAAAAAATTTAAGTATAAATTTTCTAAATATTAAATTTAATTTTTTTTAAATGTTTATTACAAAGAGAAATTTAGAAACATATTTTTAATAAAAATTAATTTATTTTAAATTTATTAATTTATTTTTTTTAAGTTATACATTTTATGTGCTTAAAATAAATTTAATTTTTATTAAAAAGTAAAATGAATTTAAAAAATGACAAATAAAATAATTAAAAAGTGGATTAATTTTGCAGTGAATAAGGAAGACATTGATCAAATACAAGAGATGAAGAATTACTCATATCTCCGCTTTGATAAACTGAAAGATACTCTGACTCCCTTGGTAGATAGAAAGAAGAAAAAGAAGGGCAGAAATTCGCTAATGTTTTGAATCTATATTTGGCGATTAGTTTTAAATTAATATTTATTTTAATCATTTAAATTGTAAAGTTTACAGTGATTTTACCAGTACTTTTTTTTTATATCTAACAAATTTTAAGTTTTATCGTAAACAATTTTTTATAATAGTGTAAAAATAAATAATTTTTGTTAGTCACTCAAATCTTTTAATCATTTTTTATTAATTATTTATTTATAATAAATTTAATCCGAACAATTCTGAATATTTCAGTAAACAATCAATTTAAATATTTTTTATCAGCTTTCAAATATTTGAAATTTTTGTTTGCTTTTTTGAGAGCTTTAATTTTTCAATAGTATTTCTTGCAAAAATTTTATTTCCATAAAATTCAATTTTGTTAAATAAATTTGATTTTTAATCAATTTATTTATTTTCTTGTTATTAGCAGTACACTTTCATAATCTTGTAAATTTTTAATTAAAATCGAAAAATTGATTTAAAAAATAAAATTTTTTATTTATATTACATATTTAATTTAATAATCTAAAGTTTTTAAAGTAGAAACATTATTTTTTCAAAAATATAACAATTGTAATGGATATTTTGTTCTTTTTAAATTAAATTTTATGATAAATTAATTCCGAATTTTCTTAGTTTCTAGAAATAAATTGACTATTGACAGCGAAGAGATGTTACAAAGTAAAATGATTCGGTAAATAAATTTTTTATTTGTGTATTGTTAGAAATATTTCTTCAAATTATTAATTAAATTTTACACTAATTCAATTCACTTTAAAATTCTTTACAAAATTTACACTGTTTATTGAAATGGGGTTATATTTTTTCAAGATATTAATCAAACTTATTTTAAATATTTTAAATATTTATTATTATTATTATTATTATTATTATTATTATTATTATTATTATTATTATTATTATTATTATTATTATTATTATTATTATTATTATTATTATTATTATTATTATTATTATTATTATTATTATTATTATTATTATTATTATTATTATTATTATTATTATTATTATTATTATTATTATTATTATTATTATATATACCTTATTTTCATTTTATTTTTCCCTGATTTCTAGACAAAACTTTGACTTTTTCCTGAACCCTAAAAATATTTTAGTTTACTTAGAAAATAATTGAATTTCCAAAAAAAGAAATTAATTCGGAAAGATTGTTAACTTCTTTCATCTTTAAAATTAATTACCGAATGATAAATTCCCTTCCCTTAATTTTAATAATAATTGTAATAAATAAATAATTTTAACTATTGACTCAATATGTGGATCACTTAAAGCTTGCACTACAAATTTACATAATGAATTTTCCTGTCAAGCTTGTTGCAAGTTTTCGAGGAATTCCATATTAATGCAACTTCATTGCAAAAGAATAGATCATTATCTTTATTTCAAGTTATGAAAAAAATTTAAATACATTAAACATTACATTATAAATGAAATATTCTGACGAAGCTCGTGACTATCAAAGAGAGATTAAAACTACTCTTAAATCAATAAGTTCCACCTTTTAGCATACATGCCCATTACAAAATTCACAATACAAATTTGTCTAATTATACTCTCCTACAAGACATTAATTTATCACCTTCTCAATAAAAAGCAAATTCCATGAATTATGACTTTAAACTATTTACTTGACAACGATAAATATCATAAATACTTTGTGTTTTATTCACTCCATCCATCATAACGTATAGATAAGCCAAAGTTCTGAAAAGCTATTGAACCAAACATCGCAGTTAAAAAAAGTTGATCGGAAACGAGTATTTCATCTCTTTCGGATTTAAATACCAAAGTGCTCGTGGATTAAATCTTCTATCCTTTTCCTCTGCGCGCTGCTTTTTTTTTTTTACCTCTGAATGACTGTCTAGGTCGGTCACGAACACGGCACCCGAGGGCTGTTATTTGATCAACCGCCATGATTTCCGAATCGTCGACTGTCTAATCATTCAAATCGTGAATGGGGCATTGCCTGTACATATGGCCTTCTAATCGCCATATACGCACACGGTTGTTCACTGAGATTCGGACTTTAATTAAAGAGTTAATGTCCGTAATAACTGCCGGAACCTCCACTCATATGATTGCCCAGTGCGATGACCGAGAGAAGACACACTACTCACGGGCAGCGCTTCCGAAAGCCAGGTTACAGCTGTTACAAGATTCATCCGATCGTTTTTTCTCTCCAAGAGACCAATTGAGAATTTGTATATACCCTGAACGGCGCGAAACCATATACGTTCCTCGGTATTTATTAGCACGGAAGCGAGGGCAATTATTTTAAGTGGTACTTGCACATTGGAGTTTTGAATCCCTAATCATCACTGACAAAGTTTAAGAAATTCTTTCTCCCCAACAAGTAAACAAAATATAAGGTTAATCATCTTCTTTGCATGCACAAATTTTCACGCAGAGAACTATCACACACTTGTTGTGGGTTTTTGATGAAGAAAATAATGTGGAGTGCTTTTCGAGTCGAAATTTTGAACCTCTTCATTCTTCTACTTTTCAGAATTTAGGAGAATCAAAAGAGGTTTAGTTTGCATGATGGTGGTCACAAGTTTCAGTTTATAAATTTCCCTTATAATTTACTGACATTAGAATAATTTTCCCTTTTTACAGTTTGTAATATGTCATTGGAGTTGATCAAGTTGCCGATGTACCTGAAGTGACAAGAGATACAACAGTGCGAGAAGTGGATTGAGAATGGTAGCCAGTCGCATTTATTTACGACTAGAATCGCTGACTGCTCCGGGTTCGCTTCTCCTTGACCCTCTCTTCCTCTTCACGGGGTTAGAAACGATATTATCTCCCGGCTGCTGCACTATAAAAGATCACCCTATGGTTGTATATTACTCACGCCACCGTGTTTTCACTTGGCGCGGCGATCGCTGCCGATATCATAACTCCTTGTCGTACCGCCGTTCAAGCAGCAAATCTAACTCGAGATGCGTCTCATACCTATATATGCACTGGTAGCGATAGTCATTCCGATGTAATGCTGACCAACTAGGACCTTGACGAGAAAAAGGATTATATACGCTATATATTGCGAGGAAATATCTGCATTATCAGTGTTTTATTTTTGTCAAGGCTCTTTTCTAATACTAAGATATAAGTTATTTTTACTCTCAGTTGCAATGTAACCCCGTTAAATTGATTGTCGTTAGCTAAACTGATTGTAAAGATACAGTTAGCAGTTAAGCTAACCACAATCAAGGAAGAAAAAAGATTTCCTTCATGTTTACTTTCAATATATACCAAAA